ATGAAAGTTACCAAGGCCCCCGTTTCTAATCAAGATCACAGTGTCACTATATCAAATGTAAACTATCTCTCCTGCATCGTCTCAACCTAGCTGCAGACCTTGACATACTGATCACACCACATGCTCTCCACATCCATGCACTGGGTGGGACATCGGTTGTCACTAGCAGTCTAATTATCTAATATAATCTGCAATTGTGGTTGTTGCTTCATCCCTGAAGATCATCATCTCATTGTCATCTGCATGCTTCCTAAGGGGACGTTGTTCAAAAACAAAGCATTTGTTCACTGATAACCAGCTCTGCCTCACCACCAACTGTTCCATGATCACTAAATTATCTCATTGCTTGTACTGGCTAAGCAGAAATTTTCTCCATCTAAATAACGGGAAGACTGAAATTAATGTTCTCAGTTTATGCAACAAGTTCTGCCACCTTGTTACTTACTCTGTCTTTCTCCCAGCAACTGTCTAACTTTGTAAACTTGAGGGTATCCAAAACTCTGCCCATATCACACTCGTGTTGTTGGCCTAGGTTTCTCTTGGATAGCAATACCTGCTTTAAAATTCCCATTATTATTTTCAAATCCCTCCATGACCTTGATTTTTTTTAATATCTCTTATGATCTCCAGCCTTTCAACCCTCATTGATATCTGTTCTCTTCTAATTCTTGCCTCCTGAGCATTGCTTAATTTGCTTCTCAATTAGTAGTTGTGTGTCATCTATCACAGCTTCAAGTTCTGCAATAATAGTATAATAGTTATATCACTGGAATATTACACAGAAGCTGGGACTAATGATTTGTAATCATATGCTCAAATCCCACATATCTGGTGATTTTTTTTTTTAACTTTTCACTGTAACTTTGCATCAGCATCTTCCTTGGTAAAGACAAATACAAAATACTCAGTATCTCAACCATACTTTCTGTATGAAAATCAGAAATTTCTGGAGAAACTCAGCAGGTCGGACAGGCCCTGTGGGGAGAAAGTAAAGTTACTGTCAAGTCTGATGACTCTTCAGATGACCTTTTTGTCTCCGTGCTTGAATCATCTTTTTGTTTCCTAATCAACCTCACGCCTCCTTTTACCACCATTTGGCTACTTACATGTGTGCGGAAGATATTTGGATTAACTTTTGTGTCTTCTGGCATCTCTTATGTTCTGTCTTATCTAAGACCATAAGATATCAGAGAAGAATTAGACTGGTCATTCGTCAAGCCTGCTCCACCATTTGATCATGGCTAATGTGTTTCTCAACCCCATTCTCCTGTCTTCTCTCCATAGGCTCTTGATTAGTAAGGGAATCAAGAGTTATCTGTCTCTGACTTAAATATACTCAGTGACTTGGTCTCTTCAGCCTTCTGCGGCAATGAGTTCCACAGATTCACACCCTCTGGCTGAAGAAATTCTGCCTCATCTCAGTTCTAAAGGGTCGCCCCTTCACTCTGAGACTGTGCTTTCGGGTCTTAGTCTCTCCAACTATTGGAAACGTCTTCCCCATGATCGCTATATCCAGCCCTCTCAGTATTCTGTAAGTTTCAAGGAGATTCCCCACCCACTGTATCTAAACTCCATCGAGTGTTGACCCTCACCCACTGCTCATGACAAGCCCTTCATCCCTGGGATCATTCTTTTACACTACTTCTGGGCCCCCTTCAATGCCAGTACATCCTTCCTTAGATACAGGGCTCAAAACCAAATGCCGTCTGACCAGAGCCTTATCCAGCTTCAGCAGTACCTCTCTGCTCTTGTATTCTAGCTGTCTCAAAACGACTGCTAACATTGTATTTGCTTTCCTAACTGCCAACTGAAGCTGCATGTTAACCTTGAGACTTCCAAGTCCGTTTGTGTTCGGATTTTGAAGCCTTTCTGCATTTAGAAAAATCACCCATGCTGCTATTCTTCCTACCAAGAGCATAACCTCACATTTTCCCACATTGTATTCCATCTGCCAATTCTTTGCACACTCTTCTAGCCTGTCCAAGTCCTTCTACAACCTCCCCACTTCCTCAACATTACCTGTCGCTCCACCTGTCTTTGTGTCATCTGCAAACTTAGCAACAATGCCCTCAGTGCCTTCACACAGATCATTAAAGTATAATATGACCCCTGCAAAATTCCACTAGTCACGCACTGCCATCCTGAAAAAGACCCTTTTATCCCTGCTCTCGACCTTCTGTCAGTCAGCCAATCCTCTATCCATGTCAGTCCCTTGCCCCTAACATTGTGGCCTTTTATCTTAATTAGTAGTCTCCTGTGCAGCACCTGGTCACAAGCCTTCTAGAAATTCAAAAAGATCACGTCCACTCGTTCTGCTTTGTCCAATTTGCTAATTACCGCCTCAAAGCATTCTATCAGATTTGTAAGGCATGACCTCCCCTTAATGAAGCTGTGCTGACTCAGCCCTATTTTGCCACGCACTTGCAAGCACTCTGCAATCTCATCATTAATAATGGCCTCTAAAATCTTGCTAATGACTGAGGTCAGGCTAATCGGCCTATAGTTTTCTGTCTCCCTCCCTTAAATAGGGGTGTTACATTAGCAGTTTTGTAGTCCGTCTATGCCGAGTGATTGATCCACCTTCGATCTTTCGGCCTCCCCAGCACCTGCTTAATGATGACCACTGCTTACCTCTGCAACCCCCAGCCCCCACCCCTCAACCGATTCTCTCGAAGTACTGGTACGCTACTGGTTTCTTCTACCTTGAAGACTGATGCAACGTACCTATTCAGTTCCTCCAGCATTTCTTTGCTACTTCTCAGCCTCATTTACCAGCAGTCCGCTGTTGCCTCTGTTCACCTTTAGATATCGAAAAAAAACTCTTGTAATCTTCATTTTATATTACTAGCTAGCTTACCTTCATATTTCTTTATTTCCCCTTTTATTCCTTTTTTAGTTATCCTCTGCTGGATTTTAAAGGCTTCCCACTAATCTTCACCAAATTCTTCTCCTATTTCTTCTTCTCTTCCCCTTTGAACTTTCCATATTCAGCCTGATTTTCACATGGGTTATAAGTCTGTTATGCACCCCTGTGTTGAAGAGCAGGATTTTTTTCACATTTGTGAGTTGTGGGTAGCTCTGTCAAGGCCAGCAATTATTTCCTGTTCCTTTAGGGGAGGTGACGACCTAGTGGTGTTATCGCTGGACTGTTAATCCAGAGACCAGATAATGTTTTGGGGACCGGGGTTCAAATCCCACTACAGCAGATGGTGGAATTTGATTTCAGTAAATATCTGGAATTAAGAGTCTAATGATGACCATGAATCCATTGCTGATTGTTGGAAACACCCATCTGGTTCACTAATGTCCTTTAGGGAAGGAAACTGCCATCTTTACCTGGTCTAGTCTACATGTGATTCCAGACCCACAGCAATGTGGTTGACTCTTAACTGCCCTCTGGGCAATTAGAGATGGGCAATAAATGCTGCCTCGCCAGCCACACCCTTATCCTGTGAATGAATAAAGAAAAAAAGAATGTCCGTGAGAATTTACTCGTGTGCTGCTGTCTTGAGCTGTTGGGTAACTCTCAGTGTTGTTACATAGAGTTGCAGGCTATTTACCTAAAATTTGCTAGTTATGGGCATACCTGTCCAATTTTTGTTATATCAAGCTGTAATCACTTTTAAAGAATATGCATTCCATGAGATGAGCTGCCCTGCTATCACTATTTATTATACACCAAAGAACTGGGGGGGGGGGAAATATTGTCAGCTACTCGCCAATGCTTTACTTGTGTTGTCACTTCAGGCGTTTTTAAATCCAGTTGCCTAATGTTTATCTCTGGGCAATCCCTTTCATCTTGGTATGCTTCTTTTAGCATCTAAACAATTTTTTAATCTAACTTTTACTCTAAATTGTCGGAGTTAGGTAAACCGGAATGTTTTCCTAGCCTTGTTTAGGCATCTTTGTCCTGTGATGTTGCTTAGCAATTTTTTTTTACCTTCTCTAGCTATGCCATTCAGTTTTCTGCTGCTATAAGGTCTAACCGCTGTTGTTCAGCTCACTCCAAGATGGAATTTTACAACGATCTGGCAGTTTGATGGACACAATTTCTGATCCCAATTCCTGTTGTATTTCTTGAACTTAATTCAGATTCTTCAGCTACTATGCAGGGATTTGAATTTATCTCTGGATCATTGTCCCAGCCTCTGACTTGCTAGTTCAGTAACATGACCACTATGCTATTGTACTCGGTACCGTTAGTGTACCTGTATCTACTGGAAGCATGAATGTGTAGACAATGGATGGGGAATGGATCAATCTTGGCTTTAATATCATCTCTGGTTGAAAGCCTGCCACACTTAGTCTTGGCTCAGACGATGAACGATACTCAAGTGAGCTTTGAAGTTGTCCAACAAAGATCAGTATTGAAAGAAATGTGTTCATGTAGTATGTTATCAAGTTTCAGGATATCCTGGTAAACCATATCCAATGAATCACTGTATATAATTCTTATTATGTAAACAAGCATGCTAGTTAACTTAGTAGTTTGCTTTTTTTTCCAAATCTGCCATTGAACTATTTTCAACTAGTTGAGCAAACAGACTTCTGTTTACCACCTGACCTGAAAGCTCCAGCACCACAAAGCTGCCTCCGTACTGCTAATTAAGCAGCATATGCTTGAATTATGTGCGATAGTGTTGTTCTGTAGCTCTTATTTTGAGATTGGTATTTGAGAAGAATGAAAGGTATGCTTTTTCTGTTGCAACTTTTCAAATCTATTCTTCGATAGAGTCTGGCTAGGCAAAAATTTGTTAGCCATCCCAAATTGTCCTTGAAATGAAAGGCCCGTTCGGCTGCTTGGGGAAGTTAAGAACCAACCATTTGGAGTTAGAGTTCACTATCCCTGGAAACCATCACTTCAAACCTTTTTTAACTTTACAGTTTTGGAACACGGCCTTTTATTTAAATTAAGTACTGATTCAGTGTTTCTTTTTTTCCCTTCTAAAAAAAAATGTCCTGATATTACCTTTTTTAATTGTTTTTGATTTTTTTTCCAGCTGATCCCACCGTTAAAGACTTAATTGGAGGTTTCACTGCATTGCATTATGCAGCCATGCACGGCCGAGCACGGATTGCAAGGTTGATGTTGGAATCGGAGCATAGACCTGATATTATCAATGCTAAAAGCAATGACGGATGGACTCCTCTCCATGTGGCTGCCCATTATGGCAGAGACTCATTTGTCAGACTGCTGCTGGAGTTTAAAGCTGAAGTTGATCCACTCAGCGATAAAGGCACAACTCCACTTCAACTTGCCATTATCAGAGAGCGCTCAAGCTGTGTGAAAATTCTTTTGGATCACAATGCCAACATTGACATTCAAAATGGTTTCCTGCTGCGATATGCAGTGATCAAAAGCAACCACTCATATTGTCGAATGTTTCTTCAAAGAGGTGCAGACACTAACCTTGGCAGGATGGAGGATGGACAAACTCCGTTACACTTGTCTGCACTAAAGGATGACGTACTTTGTGCACGGATGTTACATAACTATGGTGCAGACTGTAACACAAGGAACTATGAGGGACAGACCCCTCTGGCTGTCTCTGTAAGTCTATCTGGAACCAGCAGACCCTGCTTAGATTTCTTACAGGAGGTTACAAGTAAGTCATATTTTTCTCATTTTTAGATTTGAAAGCTTGAGGCATCAAGAAACACCACTTCCACTTGTCCTGATTGCCATGTCTGTATTTAATTTAGACTGCATGGATAAATTAACAAGAAATGTGAAGGTTTTTAAAATGCTGCTGAGAATTTTCCATTCAATTTCTGTGTCCTGCTGTACCTGTGCCTTTTTGGCCAGGTCTTCTGAGGCTGGCTTCTCCACAAATGCAGAATGGACAGCTCTGGAATAAATTCCATCATAGTTACGCTCAGGAGTGGGGTGGGAGGAATCTGCACATAGACTCTTTCCAGCACTAGATGCTGTTAAGTACGTTTAAATCTTCAGTATGAAGAGATATGTGCGTGAATGAGTGACTGGGAATGTGGCCAAGGGTGGCTTTGGTGAGTGAGCGAAAAGTACCTGTGGCAGGTGGGGTTGGGAAGTGAAAGTTCAGGATTAATATGGTAGGACAAGTAGGGAGGGTGGTGTGTTGTGGTGTCTGCAGAGTAGTCCTTTTATGTAGCTACCTAGGAGTTAGACTTACTGTTTTGGGTAACAGTCTGAAGTTTCTGACTGTAATTTAGTGGAACATTTTGCAGAAGGTCTCAGTCGCAAAATTGCCCCTTTTTCAATTTCTGGGCAGTCCTCATTGAGAATCTGAAGAAATAAACTTGTGTATGAGGAAGTAGGCGGGGTGGAGGGGGACTGGGATTAGTCGAGTTGCTCTGGCAGATGGCTGACAGGCCAAAGGATCTTCTTGTCTTTTAGTTATTCCATAATTCTAATGCCAAGGAATCTTTTACTTCCACCTGAAAGGGCCGAGAACCTCAGTTTATCAACTTCTCTAAAGGTGGCACCTCTGGCAATTCAGGTGATCGCTACACTGGAGTGTTACCCTTTTATTTGTGCTCCAGTCCCGGGCTCAGACTTGAACCTGTAACCAATTAATGTTCAATGTTTTTGTGTGAAGTGGAGTGAACTTGTATTGATTTTATTCAAGTGCATTTATCTAATACTAATTTGGTCTGCTGTCAGAGGGGCTGAAGAGATAAAGTTCAAGATATACAAGAATATGGTCTACGTTGTTGCAACTTTGGTTTACACAATCATACAAATAGCTGTAGGACATCAAGAGTCAACTCCCATAAAACTCATGGGAGGTATTAACATTAATGAACCCAAGTAGCTATCTGTGGCTTACCCGAATTTGTAACAGGTTTGTTCTTGTTTGACCAATCGAATACTAAAGCAAACTTGGTATGTTTGTTTTCAGTTTGTTGGCACGTACCAGTTGGTGCACTGACATTTCTTTGGAGACAGCATTATAAAACCTATAGATTATCTAAGACTTGTACTTTTAAAAAAAAAAAAGCCTATTAATTTACCAAAACAGAGTAACTTTTCATCTTTTGAAACAAAGCCACACATGCAGTGTACCCTAGAAATGTAATTTATACAAAATATTTGAAGTATTGTTAATTTTAAATCAAATCAAATATAATTCTTGATCAGCTGGTAAATTGAGCAGAACAATGGCAGATGGAATTTAAGTGCAAGGTGATACATTTTGGGAGGTCTAATAGGGGAAGGATATACTCGATGAATGGTAGGTCCCTAGGGAGTACAGAGGAACAAAAGTATCTTGGCGTACATGTCCATAGATCCCTGAAAATGTGAGCACAGTAGATAGGGTAGTGAAGAGGGCAAACGGGATGCTTGCCTTCATTTGCTGGGGCATAGAATGTAGGTGCAAGGAAGTTTTCACCATGCTATCGGAAGGACATGATTGCAGTGGAGAGTGAGAAGAGGAGATTCATTGGGATGTTTTCTGGGATGTAAAGCCTCCGTTATGAGGAGAGACTGATTTACTCTGGATTTGTTTTCCTTTGAACAGAAGAGACTGAGGGGACATCTGATAACAAAGTTATCAGAGGTGTAGATTGGGTAGACTGTGAGAATCTTTTTCCCCATGGCAGACATGTCTGAGACAAGAGGGCATAAGTTTAAGGTGAGAGGTAGGTGGTTTAGAGGAGATTTGAGAGAAAAAAATCACCTAGAGGGTGGTTGAAATACAGAATACACTGCCTGAGAGAGTGGTAGAGACAGGTACTCTTGCAAGATTTAAGAAGCGTCTGGATGAGCACTTAAAATGTCAGGGCATTGTAGGCTATGGACCAAATGCAGGTATATGGTTATATTGTAGATTGGTGTTTCTTGGTTGGCGTTGGCATAGACATGGTGGGCTGAAGGACCTATTTCTTAGCTGTATGACTTAACGACTCTATAAATGTGTGACATTTTAAAAGATTTGGGCTGGCCTTCATATAAGTGGATTGGCAGTGCCAGCATCAATGCATGCTGCAGCTGACATTCAAGCATGTGGTTCATGCTCTGATACTTGCATGAAGAAGCTGTTCAAGAGAATAGAACACATCCACAAAAGCTTCTAATAATTTATCAAAATAGATTAAAGGTACTGCTTCTGTTTTCACACCGAATTCTGTTTATTCAGATCTTCCTTTCATCAAATTATTGTCTCAGTCCTAATTGCAGAATTGTTACAATGCAGAAGGAGGCTGTTCTGCATCTGCACCAGATCTGTTACCTTGTGGCAATCTTCTTCCTTTTTCCCAGATCCATGCACACCATTTCTGTCTAAATAATCATCAATGCCCTCTTGAATGCCTGAGTTGAACCTGCCACCAGTGCATTCCATACCCTAACTACTCACTGTGTGAAAAAGCTATGTCTCACATCATCCTTGCTTTGTTTGCACATCACTTTAAATCTATGCCCTCTTACCCTTTTATCCTTCTACAAGCAGGAACAGTATCATCTCATCTATCCTGTCCATGATATTGAAAACCACCTCAAATCAAATCTCCTCTTAATCATCTTCTCTCCAAGGAGAACAGTCCCAATCTCAATCTATCCTTACAATTGAAATTCTTCATTCCTGGAACTATTTTCACAAATCATTTCTGCATTCTCCCAAAGCATTCACATCTTTCCTATAATGTGACATCTATAACTGTACACAGTACTCTGGGTGAGGTCCAACAAGTATTCTGTACAAGTTAAACATCACTTCTTCCTTGCTGTTTACTCTCTGCCCCTGTTAGTAAAGCTGAGAACACTAAACGTTTTATTTACTGCTGTCTCCACCTGTCGCACGGTAACAATCTGTACACATTTACACCTAGGTCTCTCTGACCCTGCACCGCCTTTAGAATGGTGCCCTATTTTATAGTGCCTTTTAATGTTCCTCCAGCCAAAATGCATCATCATAAGCACTGAACCTCATATGTCCATTCATATGTCCTTACAGAGTTCCACATTGTGCTCCTTGCAGTTTTCAATTCTTCAAAGTTTACTGTCACCTGCAAACTTTTAAGTTTTCCCCTGTACGCCAAGATCCAGATATATATATCAGAAAAAGCAAGAGTCCTAATATCAAGCCCTGAGAATTCCACTATGAACCTTCCTCCAGCCTGAAAAATATCCATTGACCATTACTGTATTTTCTATCACTCAAGCAGTTTTGTATCCATGTTCCTACTATCTCTTTCATCACAAGTGTGTTGTGTGGTGCTGTGTCAAACGCCTCTGTAAATCCATGTCTACCACGTCAACAGTGTTATACTCATCGACCCTTTCTATTACCTCTTCAGTAAACTTCAATTTAGTTAAACACATTTCCCTTTAGAAATCCATGCTGACTCTTCCTAATCAATCTGTTTTTTTCCCAAAGTGATGACTCATTCTAATATGAAAAATTGCTTCTCAACGTTTCCCCACAACCAAAGTTCAACTGGTCTGTAATTGCATATATTATCTTCACAATCTTTATTGGATAAGGTCATACTGCTTGCAATTCTGCAGTCTTCTGGCAACTTCCCCAGTCCAGGGAATACTAACAGATTATGGTCATTGCCCCCACGATTTCTGCCTCCACAATTTCTACCTTTATTCCTTCAAAATCCTGTAACAATGCGAGCATGAAACAAGAAAAAGAACAACAATCCATATCTTTAAATTTGCTCTAGAAAATGGACCCTTAAACATCTGCAAAGGTGCAATTAAATGTGAAATTTAGATTTGTTTAGTTCCTATGTTATTGACCAACCCATAAGTTGTGAAATTTAGTCCAATTTATTATTTAATACAGAATCAATGGCCACTAGTTTGGTAAATATTTAAAACTACTGTTACGCAAAGACATCATCCTGATATATACATACAGCCAACTAATACAACCTGTCCTCTAACCTCTGCCAAAGAAAGCAAACTTAGCATTTCAATTTACCTCCATAACATTTGATCAACTGATCTTTTATACATGTCATGGGACATTGGTGTAATGGGTTTTTTTTTTTTGCCCCCTCTAGGACAGCCTCGAAGTTTACAAGATCTGTGCCGAATTAGGATTCGTCAGTGTATTGGCCTTCAAAATTTGAAAGGACTGGATGAACTTCCTCTTGCAAAAGTCATGAAAGACTATTTGAAGCACAAGTTTGATGACATTTGAATGTTGAAAGTTCCACTCTTGAGGGTTTGAAGTAGGTGCTGCCTTGCCCCAAGTACATCCTATGCAATTCCCGATTTGAAATTTAAAGTCAATACGGGTATCATTACTTCTCCGAATTTAACAATTCCGTCTTATTGGGCATAATATTGGCCTGCTCCGGGAAGATCTGTGTTCACTTCCAAAAACAGTTCCAAGCTGATATACTTAACTATCTGAGTTGGCAGCGTTCAGAAACTTTGATTATTTTCTCTCTTCAGCTTGACTTCTGTTCCAATATAATGTTCAATTATTTTAACTTACTGCAAAATTCAGTGAGCTGGAACAGGTAACATTTGAATGATAAAGGTTACAGAACAAGAGTGAACAAAGCAATTCTGTTTGAAAATATCCAAAAACGCGTTACTCTGTTAGTTACTCTGTATCAAGATGGATACAAGTTATATGTTTCAAATCGAAATGAAAACAAAAGCTGGAAATGCAGAGCAGGTCATTCAGAATCTGTGATTAGGACGGAAAGTTGGCATTTTGTCCCAATGTCCTTCGTGAGAATTGAAAAATAATAGAAATGGAAAATACTGGAGATGCACAGCAGGTCAGGCAGCAGAGGTGAAGAAACAAGCAGAGTTAGTGTTTCAGATCAATGACCTTTTATTAGAACTGGAAAAAGATATAATGGATTTTAAGAATGTATTGAGGATAAGTAGGGGGAGTTTAAAATAAAGAGAAAAATGAGAGTCATCCCCTATATTAATTTCAGGAAAATTAGGGTATGGAAAGGGGTAACAACAAGCAGCCCAACAAACTCTGAAAGCGCCAGTGTACTGAATGAGTTACATTTTGCATTATTTCAGTCAAGTGAAAGATAGAACTGTTGAGGAAGGATGTGTGAATGACTAAAGCAGTAAGGAAGATAAAGAAACAGACTATGGGAGAGGTAACTTGACTGAGATGGTCATCTAACAAAGATGCCACTGGTTCCTTTCTTCATTCCTTTCCCTTCCTCTTTACTAATTAATATGTTCATCCATTTTTGTTTCTCTGTTCTGATACATGTAATAGCTTAACATGTCTGCCACATCTAAGCTTTTGTATTTTGTCAAGAAACAAAATTTAAAGGTGCTAACGTGATTTGGGCTTTTATTGCAGTATTCACTGAACTTTTGTCTTGTCTTTTCCATCCCTTCCAAAACTACTTGTGTTGCCCTTCACTGTAATGCTCTGCTGTATTGTCTGTGATGCTTGCACAGTGGAGGTACTAAGGTATAGTAGATGCTTTGAACTTAGAAATATTGTTTAGGAGATGGAGGGAAAGCTAACCAGCATGTATATCATAATCAAATTTTCATATAAGTAAATCTCTTCACTCAGCCTTGTTTTTTCCTTGGTGCCTTCTCAGCAGTTTGTCTGTTAATTGGTATACCTTCTGTGTTACTATCTTGCCCTTATCCATGCCTTGCTCTAGAATTGACATTTTCCATTCTGTCTGCACCAGGGCCTCATTAACTTGATCTGTATTATAAGCTGACCACTGTGTTGTGGTGTGATGTGTGCAGCCAGTTCATTGTTCCTTCTGTTTTTTAAGCATACAACCAACATACGTTGCAACAGGACTGAAGACAGACCAGTGTAAGTGAGTCATTCTTTTGATGTCCGCCAAATATTTGTCCTTAAGAGGTATTTCAAAGTAGAAGTATCCTAAAAACTATACAACATTCTGGAGTTGTATTCAATCTAAGTTCTATATGTTTTGCTAGCATCAAATTTTAAGCAGAACATTTAGTAGTTCTCATTATATGCTGAACAGATCTCTGGCAATTGAAATTCCTAACTATATGGAAAATTTTAGCAAGAATTGTTAATTGATATTTGATTACATAAGATTAATGGTTATGTTTTTAAAAAGCTATTTCATAGCTTATCCTGTAATTTTATGAAGAACGTGACAGAACAACAAAGCTGGGCAATATTTGAGGTAATATTGGGTCAGTATGGATTTCCTTTCTGTGGATTGCCGCCTTGCTGCAGTTGAGAGGCTTGAGTATTCTGTTGATCCCAAGAGCAATGCTGACAGCAGTAGTGGAGGGCACAGTTAAGGCAGGTGCCCCAAATGATTAGCAACTGTAACATGGTAGCTGAAGCTAAGAAATTGTAGTCAGTTAGAAATCAGAATCTACTGAGAAAATAGGAGGGCCCTGGATTCCTGTTTGTTGTCTTAGCCACTGTTACCCCTATTCACTTTAATAGACTTTAATAAGAGAATTAGGTTGGTCAGCATAGAAAATCCAATCAGATGAGGCTTTTGGGTTGAGGTGTCAATAGATAAATAATAAACATTCCATATTAGAGTAGAATAAACTATTACAGCAATTGCTTTGGAGAGACTGATCCAGATTTGAGTGCATAGGTCTGTTTTGCTTAAGAAGTATTCAACAGTGCAGTTAAATGTTTCAATCGGATATCAGGTAGCAGGTTGCTGTTCTCCCAGGCTGGCAATATTCGGTTATTGGCCCACTGTTTTTGTCTTCCTTTCTGTCCTTTGTTTCCCTCCATCCTCAGTAAAGTAAAATGTGGAATGCAATGGGATTTGCTTACAGTTTCAAACTTAATGGAACAATTGCTGTGACTCAACACTATAGGTTACAGCAGTTGTTATACGCTAAAGTAAGAATGTGCTTTAGCCAAAAAGATGTAAGAGACACTTCATACTTTTTGTTTGCCAATTCTGTGAGCCCTGTTTGTATTTGAATTTATAGGTGGTGCCATAACAAAGCTGCTATGGTCCATGTTCTCCTTTCTTGCTCAGGTAATAATATGATCAGAGGTAGTGCTGAATGTTTACTAATCCTGTACAATGACATTCTTCTTTACAGATATAAGTAATTTCAATTTATTTATAACCATAAACACTTGTTTTCAATAGCTTATTGGCAATAGCTATGACGTGCTGCACTATAACAGTTAACGGTCCCTGGTGAGTGAATCAGAATTGAGTATGTCTCTGCATGTTGCCTTTGCAAAAAGCAGCAACTTGTAATATCATTGAGATAACAGTGCATCAGAGCTACAGGCATTAGTGGTCAAAGCATTAGTGTCTGTCTGGCACATCTCTCCCTCTTCGCTGACTTACAAATAAAATGAACAAGTCTTGGAGCTACAGCCCTGTAGAAATCATAATTTTGTTTTACTCAACATTTTGAAAAAATAAAATGCAATTTAAAGCTGAATTTGTTTCTGATCATTTCTTTCAGATAGCACTAATGTATTTGATAGGAATACAAGTAATCAGGAGTATTTAACTGCATTTATTGCTATTGTAAGAAAGATATTGGTCGATGTTCTTGGTGGCTAACGTGTATTTTGTCTTGGTCTTGTTCTTGCTTAATACCGAAACCTACTGTTTTCTGCCCATATTCTCCAGCCGACTCTAGAGTTTGTTAATGCCCCTTGAAGCTACAGTGCATTTCCTTTGGCTAGGGCATTTAGCTGATGTTGAGGTAGCACGTTGTACTGAAGGCTAACTGTACTATCAAGATGTGTTGGTGTTCTTCATGTCTTGAAAGCTTGAGAACTATTTCTCTCCATCCCTCCCCCTCTTTCTCTCTTTTTCTTTCTCTCTCTACCATGTGCAAGGAATTTTAGTAAGTGGCCTTTTGAGTGAAATAGACAAACCTATCAGAGTTGAACAACCTTGAAGACAAAACTTCATCTTCCAGTCTTGTGGGTTGGGATCCAATCCTTTAGTGAGTACAGAGGTATATAAACATTTTTTTTTAAAGCTAGTAAGCTGTGATGCAAAGGGATCATAGATATTATTTTGTACATTTTTCATCTTAACTTGAAATACCAAAGAGAAACTAAGATCTTAAAAGAATTCGTTGGATGAATTTTTGTTTGTACAGTTTTATAAACTGGTAATGTATCAACTGAACTATTTAATGTTTAATGACAATGGACCACTGATTTTTGTAAATGTTTTGTGTTCTAAATGTCAACAGATTAATACATTTTTAGAGTTATTTAAATGCCACAATTCAATAAAATATTTCCTAAGTGTTACACCTGTTGTATTGTCTTTGTTCAGATTTCTACATAGTTTGTGTTGTCAATACTAGTTACATTTACACAAAAGCATTGCTGACCTCATCGTCATGGTGTTATGGTGCTTCTTTAAAAATTATTTTCTGGCAGTGATATGCTACGTTTCAAAGTGAAGCACCTAATCGTCAGCTTTTTCTTTGCGGGGTTTTTCTATTTTTTTCAGGTTTTATTTCTGGTGTCAATTACCAAGAAGTACAGCTCAAAACCATTTATTGTTAGATTGCGAACAGTAGATTTCCATATTTACAAAGTAAAGCTGCATTGTAGCAGTGAAGTCCATCGATAATATTTGTGAACTTGCAGCAGTGTGTACCATCCACAATATGCACTGCAGAAATTCACCAAGGCTTCTTGGACAGCACCTTGCAAACCCATCACTGGCACCATCTAGAATGACAGGGGCAGCAGACACATGGGAATGCTACCATCTGCAAGTTCCTGTCCAAGTTACTCAGTATCCTGTCTTGGGAATATCATTGTTGCTCCATCCTCCAGCTTCACTTGGTCACAATCCTGGAGCTCCCTCCCTAATGGCACTGTGGGTGTACTCACGCTAAATGGACTGCAACGGTTCAGGAAAGCAGATCCCTCATCACCACCTCAAGAGAAGCTAGGAATGGGCAACAAATGCTGGACAAGCTAGTGATGCCCTTAACTGCCCTCTGGGATGGGCAATAAATGCTGCCTGGCCAGTGATGCCCTCATCCCGTGAATGAATAAAGAAGAAAAAAAATGAATGATGTTAATACCAACAACCAATTTAAAGGAACAGATTACTATATAATTGTGAAACTTTTTAAAAAAGGTAGTAATTGTTAGGATGTAACAAATGCGACTGCCAGTTTACACAGTAAGCTCACACAAATGGCAATGAGATAATTAATATCTAACAGATGATCTAGTTATTGAGGGATGAATCCCTTGCTCTCTATAGTGCTGTGGATCTTTTATACTCACCTCAGAAGGTGCACAAGACCTTTTTTAATGCCTCATCTGAAAAATGATATCTTTGTCAACGTAGCACTAGAGTGGTGGCCTAGATTTTGTGCAGGAGTCCCTAGGATATGGATAAATTACTACGTTGGCTACTTAAACAGGTTCATGAAGCGCCTGGAGAGAGCAATGACTGCAGCTTAAAGATTTGTTATTCTGAGGGCGACTCGGAACTTGGCACCCCTCCTCCTCCCACAACCGTGAGGTGGTTGTGTTTCCAGGTTAGATGAAGCACTTTGTCTTCTTTAGCCTCTTCCATGCACACCTGTCTAGTCAGAGGGCTGGCCTTGGGCAATTTCATCTTAATACAGCCACACTGGTCTGCATTAGAACCTCTGGGTAAAAGTGAGACAGTTTTGTGAAATTTCCAGGTCTCCTCTTCATTCCTTTTTAACTGGAACTCCTTCCTTTGATGTAGCAGATCAAATGACATGCTCTTTCCACCTGGCCAGGAAATGCAGGGGTGGTATGTCAGTGCTTTAGCTATGTTCTGGAACCTTGGAAAGTTTCACTCCAGTGTTTGTAGATTCTCATCCTGATAATGGTCCTTGTATTTCAGCAAGGACTAAGTTTTTAAGGCAGAACAATACTTGAGAAGGACTGGTGTGGAGCAGGTTCTACATGGAGATATAGATATAGAGTCCCTACAGTGTGGAAGCAGGCCCTTCGGCCCAACAAGCCCACACTGACCCTCAGAGTACCCCACCCAGACCCATCCCCCTATAACCCACCTAATCTACACATCCCTGAACACTACGGGCAATTTAGCATGGCCAATCCACCTACCCTGCTCATCTTTGGATTGTGGGAGGAAACCCACGCAGACACAAGAAGAATGTGCAAACTCCAGACAGACAGTCACCCAAGGATGGAATTGAACCCAAGCCCCTGGTGCTGTGAGGCAGCAGTGCTAACCACAGCCACCATACCAACCCAAGCCTACACCACCTGATATTCCCAGGCAGTCTACAATCCAAGCACGAACCAGGCCAAAGTCTGCTTAGCTTCTGAGATCAGGTGTTTTCAGACTAGTATGGCCGGATGGTGAACGGTCTAGGCCCTGCTCCTCTGATGCTGCTTGGCCTGCTGTGTTCATCCAGCTCTACACCTTGGTATCTCTGGTGAACAGTGTTGTTTCTCAAGTTTAGCATTGTCAATGATTCACATCTACTTTAAGTCTTCAGCTGGGAGAATAGTCTGAATCGAGCAAGGTTTTCTTGAGTGGAACCATGGTATGTCATCCTTATGTGATGTGGGAGCTCCTGTTGTATACTTCTTCCTGTGATATCTTTTGTGGCAATCAGAATTTCCATGTTCCAGTATATAAAAATCAGCACCACAGATTTTGGTCTTGTGCAGACTGTTCCCAGATATTGACGTCAAACTGGCATGAAATGATGTCTCCCTTGCATGAGTCTAGTTTCATTTTTGGCTACTCAGTGGGTTGGGTGTCAGCTCAGTCAGCTGGATTGCTGCTTTACAATGGAGAGTGATGCCAATAGCATATGTTCATTTCCTGCCCCAGCTGATGTAATTATGAAGGACTCTCCTCAACTTCACCTGAGCCACGGTGATCCTCGGGTTATTCCACTACCAGTGTCTCTCTGACAAGAGCAGTGCTATGGTCTTTTGGAACAATGGTGACTTCACCTTTACCTTTATAACCAATGGGGTTTACTAGCACTTTCAAGCTCTGAAAGGAGTAAAAAAAAACACTGCAGTAGGAGGGACAGAAAGGGAAAATGTTGAAGGTTTACTAGTAATCACAAAGTACGTAATGCATCTGGGAAATGTGAACGTGATATGATTGGATAACGTATTAATTTGAAAATGATTGGCTAACATAGTTGTGTCATACCTTGGAATGTGAATTATGCAAACATAATTAGTAGAGACGAGGTGAATAAAATAACTTTCTGATTGAAAACTATTATCTGTGAGAATAGTATAAACCTTTGTTCTAGCAATAAAAATTTGAGCTGCACATGATTTTTGGATACGTATATCTCCTGTGCATGCATGAATAAGCGTTTATATGAAGAAACCTGATTCTCTCCTGGTCAAAGAGGGAATAGAGTTAAACTCACCTGTTCAAGGCCTCTCTACAGTGCATCTTTTATTTAGTGACATTGTGGTCAATGTCATTTGAGCTTTTCCATAATACTTTTGAGTTAGAAAGCTGCAGTGCTTCCGTGTTGGGGACTCCGCACTGGATGTAGATCCTAAGGACTTTTCTCGAGTAGCATATAGGAAATGAATTCAGTCTGCATTCTTGAATTTTTCTTTGTTTCACACTTCAGGACCATTCAGCAAATGTGCTTGGTATATATGCATTTTTATTTATAGATTCTTCACCGTGTGGCAATAGAGAGTTTGAATTTTTTTTTGGGCTATTGTATGAAACTTTCCAGATGCTGCGGTGACACAACCAAAGTGAACTGGTGTCTCCTCATCGAGCTTCATTTCACTTCAGCTGTTGACTCCAGCTAGCAAGATTTGTCTACATTTTTAAATGCTGTGTTTAGTAGTGTGCTACTGAAAGTTGACCATCTCCAGTCATTGCCACTGTCTTTTTGTCTGATCATGACTCTGAGTTCTCCGGTAGCTGTTGAGAAGATGATTTGAATTGTTTGCAGGCTCATGGCTGAATGCTCCACAAGCCCTGTCATCAGTTAACAGGAGTTCATGCATCAAAACATGTCCCACTTTGATCTTTGCTCTCAACCCGGACAAGTTTGAAGAGTCTTCAATCTGATCTTATGTACAGTGTATGCCTTCTCTCAAATACTTAATGCTAATGAAAGTGCAGGAACTTGCAATGCCCAGAACACTTCACTGCTTTACTTTGCCCAATCTTTGGAGGGCCATGGGGGGGGGGCTGTGGTCAGAGCTCATTCCAGTATGTGATTTTTTTTCTACCCCTAAAGATTGGGGGGCAACAGGTTTATGTAGGAAGGAAAATAATCAGTTTGAAGATTTCAGTTTGGTCTGCATAGCAACTTAAAATTATGACTGCTATTGTACGTTCAAATTCGATTAGGATGGATTCTTTGTGATCCGATGATACAGAAACACGCCATTCAATCCAATTGATCTTAACCAGTGTTAATGCTCCACACAAGCCTCCTCCCAC